CGTTCCTCTCCATAACTCCTCTGCCAATGAGACAAAATTGCATTTTCTCTTCATGGCTGAGAAGCTTTGAGCAGGCTCTGCTGCATTGTGTGGCAGTGTATCTTGACTAAATGCGTTATAGCTCACAAAACATCATATGTTTTTGCTCACTGTTGCAGATATCCCAAATAAAGTCCCTATGTGCCTGGACTCTGCTGGCAGAGCCGTTGCTCTTATTGCTCCCATTGGCAGCAATGGCAGAGCCATTGCTCCCTTAAAACTCTTGTGTTAGTCATGATATGGTCTGGAGATTTGTGTGAGCAGTTTGCTTTTTTGGTATTTTTCAGAAATGCCTTTTCCCTGATTCCAGCAATATTTGGGATCAAGTCACTAGTTTTGGTGTGGCTGGTAATGAATGAAAAGCCAAGTAAGAACAGTTCCATTTTGTGTGGCTGTTTGTGGTGTGAGCTGACGAGCCTCACTTTAGTCCCAGAGAGCAGCCATCTACATCATACAGATGGTTGTTGCAGTTGGCATTGACTGAAGCACATGGATTGCTTTTTGCTTATAGCCACCTCAAATGCAAAAAACAACCCCACTCCTGTTTGTGGACAGAGTCCATGCTTTCAGTGTTCCTTGGCTCTCCATGAAAAGCAGATGGCACTTCAGGCTTTCACAATGTCAGTCCCTGAGTATCTGAAAAACTGAGCTGCCCCACAGGGAGGCTGAGGTGGCCTGAACAGCTGTCCTAGGGCTGCCCAGCATGACATATCTCAGCATATCTCCTGCCCATCCAAGGACCAGCATGGAGGCTCTCTCCTTTAGCTGGTCTAAGTGTCCACAGTGTGATGTCTTCAGCCCATTCCCCTCAAAGACAGGAAAGTAGGTATAGCCAAGCTGCCTCAGCTCATCCTGTTGTTTTCCTTCTGGCTTGGTACACAAACAAATCCCGCATCCATAGCATGGAAATACAAATATGCTCCTTCACCTGCCATCCAAACATTTCTACCATGTCTCTGGCTGTGCCTTACAGTCTCTTCTCAGCAAGTGTGTTGCTCTGGGCCCTGTTCCCTTTAAACAGGGTTTAAGTGTTTTGTACTGGAGGGGAATGATATGATACCTGTAGGGCTGGGATCATGTTGCTCCATCTATTCCTGAACGGCATAGTGACAAAATCTGGTCACTTGTGCTCATCCTGCCAGTCCTGCACCTGTCAGGAGTACTGATAAATGGCATGAAAAGGCTGTGGTATGGATTTGTGGTGTCCATGCTCTGACTGTTTACTTGAATTTTTCCTCAAGTTTTCAGAAGGTAACCAAGTTAGGAGCCAGACCTGCTGTTTCATTATCTGCTTCCAGCAGGGGGAGATGGGTCCAGAGAGTTATTTCTTCTGGGAACACATACAAAAATAACATTATTTATTTTACTCATGAGGCGCTCTCCTAGGATTTGTATGATTCCTGCTTGTTTGGCCTTTTACACCTATGAAACCCCTTCCTTTTGATTGTATCCACTTCAAAAAGCAAATAAGACCCATCCTCTTTACCTTTTGTTTTTGTTTTATTTTTCACAAGATTCACAAAACCCTCAAGGGAATTTCTTCCTCATCTCTCTGATGATGATGATTATTATTATTAAATAGTTATGCTACAGTACTTCTAATGAGGGTTGTATAAATGCGTAAGAAGATTAAATCATCCCCTGTACTGCTGGATCAGCAGAGAGGAGCCTCTGAGCCCTCTGTGATGCACCTTTCTTGGTAGAGAGGTATGGCCACATACAGTCCCACCTTGAATCAGGATCCTACGTGAGCCTGGAGACAGGATTCCTTCCTTTTCCCTCCCTGAAACCCCCTCTGTCGTTCTCTGTATAAAACATATTGGTGCTGCTTTCTATGAACTATATTTAACTAAGCATTAAATTTAGATTTAACTGGATAGTTATTGCCTCCTAAGTAAATACTCTGAGATAAGGAAATATTTAGTGAGCTCTAGCAGTTGGGTGGCAGATGCTTCTTGTATTGCATAATAGTTAATCTTTGACAAATATGTTTTCCTTACTCCACGGGCATTTAATTAACATACAATATCTCTTATTAAATGTAGATGAAACATATTTGGGAGACCCTTGTAAAAAGGGTCCATGCAACACTGGCTTGAGAGGGGTGCACTTCATAACTTCATATGGGACCAGGTCTTTTAGCTGTACTCAAAGTCTGTCACGGGGAGTGCAGAGGTTTCCTTGCTGATGCCCCTCTTCTGGCATGCCAGCAGCCTGATGCATCTCTGTGCCTTGCACTCTCCATCCTAGAGTGATGGTTACTAGTCAGCAATCAGGTGTCAGCAGCATGCTCTTCTCGAGAGCATTACCCTTGTGAGGTGGTATTTCTCTCTGCAGTAGCTTGGCTACATCTAGTATTTGGATTAACCCCTTTAGATCCTCATTCCTCTCCCCATCTGGTGCTATCCATGCCAAGTCTACTGCAAAGGAAACGTCTGACTTGCCTCACTCCTTGGCTTGAATACAAAGCAGTCGTCTCTTCTTGCTACTGCATGCGTGGCACTGGAGCAGCAGTGTCATGACCTTAGTCCCTAATTTGTGGGCCTTTAACACTTGCAGGGATTGTTTAAGTACTCAGACAGCATGGCCTTTCCATATCAAGGCTTCAGGGGCCAGTTTCTAGGAGTTCAGAAAGCAACTGGATGTATTCCTGGAAGAAGAAAATCATTCAAGTACTATTAACTACAAAGGCAGTGCCACTGGCTGGGGACATGCCTTAGCCATAAATCACTAGAAATAGATAAGTGCCCTGGGGCAGTACCAATGCATGCTTGCCCTGTGCTTGAGAGCTTCACCAGCCATTGGCTTCAGGCTGCTTGGAGACAGGAGAAAGGGTTAGAGGGTCCTTTGATCTGGTCCCACATGGCCATTTCTGTGACATTCCTTATGTCTCTTCAGTTTTTGAGCACACAAGGCTGCGGGAGCAGAGGTGAAGCAGGCTACGTACAAGACCTAGTTTCTCCCTTCCTGATCATGTACCAGCACTGTAACCACACAGGACAGCAACTCTTAGCCAAGTAACCCCATGGCTTTTCTTGCACCTGATTCTCTGGAGCGCTCTTAAACCGTCCCTTCCCTCTTTGCTTCTCCGTCCCAGCCCCGCAGTGCTTTGGTCGCAGAAGGGTTACATTAGCGAAGCATCCCCAGGAGCAATTCTGATCCCTCCCGCAGGCAGAGATCGGGCTGGTGGAATGGCAGGCAGGCATCAGCAATAAAACACAGGGCTTATTCCTTTGCATTAATTTAATCTCCCTTCTCTCTGCGGCGGCCGTGGGCTGCGGGCTGCGGGAGCGCTGCTGGCGGCGGGCGCGGGGCTCAGCTGCGGGCTCTGGCAGCACAGGCCGAGCATTCACACCGCGGGCAGCTCAATGCCGGCATTGTCTCCGCTCCGTCGCTCCGGGGCTGGGAAAGGGGGTGGGGGGCGGGAAGGGCTGAGTGGAGAGAGGTGGGAGGGAGGGATGTACAACTGGTATCTGCCGAGAGGAAATTCTGAGCGGGGAAGAAGCAAGGTCTAAGGCTGCCGAGGCAGTTGCCAAGGATGCTGCTCTGTAAATCAGCTGGCGTGTGGCTTCAGGCCGCTAAGCCAAGTTGTTTGCACTTTTGGCCGCAGACCCACTTTCCTCAGTATTTCATTTTGAGAATATTGGCCGTACCTTCCTTCGTCCTCTGTGCCCTACTCCCTGTGCCTCCCTCCCGCTCGGCATCTCCCGGCTGCTCCTGCCTTCTCTCTGCTTCCCGCTCCAGTTCCCCGCTCCCCTTCTCCTTCTTTCTCCAGCCCCCCCTTCCATCCCCTTCCCTCTCTTCCTCTCCCTCCTCCCCTCTCCTTCGGGACTCACCCCTCTGTCTTGCAGCCCTCATGCTTTTCCAAGCCCCCTCTCCCCGCTGCGGTGCCCCCTCCCCGCCCCGGCCGCTGTTCCGTGTTCCCCCGGGCAGCCCCGTTCCCCGGCGCGGAGCCCCGGGCGGCCGCGCCCGCGGGAGAGGGATGGGAGCGCGGCCCGCGGGAGAGGGATGGGAGCGCGGCCCGCGGGAGAGGGATGGGAGCGCGGCCCGCGGGAGAGGGAT